CTTCAAAGGGCCCCAGCCGCCCAAAACCCTGGACCCTAAACCAATCCTTGATAAACCCTCAAAAGGACCGCAACCCTAGACCCCAAACCTTAAACCCCAACCCTAAACCTCAACCCTAAATCCCAAACTTTAAACCCCGAAGCCCTGAACCCTAAACCCCAAACCTTAAGCCCCGTGAGCTCAAACCCTAAACCCCAACCCCTAACCCCAAAACCTTAACCCCCCTAAACCCGGAACCCCCTAAAGCTCAAAGCCCAAACCCGCAAAGCCCTGAACTCTAAATCCTAAACCCTAAACCCCTAAAGCTCAAACCGCAAACCCAAAGCCCTGAACTCCAATTAGCTGAGGCTTTTCTTCGCAGACAGCAAGTTTGAGCATCCCTTGGACACGCAGGCTGCACTCCGCTTTTAAGGTTTAGGGTTTTTTAGGGTTTAGGTTTTAGGGTTTAGGGGTTTAGGGGTTAGGGTTAGGGTTTAGGGTTTAGGAATTTGGGTTTAGGGTTTAGGGTTGGGGGTCAGGGATTAGGGACTTTTGGATTATATAGGGTTATATAGGGTTATATAGGTGTTATATAGGGGTTATATAGGGTTATATAAGGTTGTATAGGGGTTATATAGGGATAATGGAAAAGAAAATGGAAACGGCTATAAAGGGGTTTAGGGTTATAAAGGAGTTTAGGGTTATATAGAGATTTAAGGTTTTGGGGGCTACAGGGATTAGAAAGGGGTTTAGAGTTTTTGGGTTTGGGGTTTAGGGTTATAAAGAGGTTTAGGGTTCAATTAGCGCCTTGGAGGCTACAGGGGTGAGATAGGTTGTCAGGGGGTTTGGGGCTAAAGGTTTAGGGTTAAGGGTGATTTGGGAAATAGAATTGGAAGCTACACTCCCCCAAACTAACATGGAAACCCATATAGCCCCCTTTTAGAAGGACTGTAGTCTTGATAGGACCTTTTTTGGGTTTCCATGTTAGTTTCCGGGAGTGTACTATTTCAAGAACTTGGGGCACAATTTTGGAGCAGCGAAGGCGCAGCGGGGTAGGGTCAAAGGTGTAAAGGGTTTAGGGGTTTAAACCCTAAACCCTAAACCCTAAGGTTTAGGGCTTAGGGCTTAGGGCTTAGGGTTCAGGGTTCAGGGTCCAGGATTAGAGTTTAGGATTTAGGGCGCCTGAGAGGTTTGATCAAGCTAAATTGTAAGAGTAGGTGTATGAACCCTGAAGACTTGGGATATGGATAGTTGGGGGGGTTTTCGTAGTATTTGGTGGATTTTGGGTCTCGGGGGTCAGGGCTACGGGGTTTCGGGTGTGGAGTTGGGAGTTTAGGGCATAGTAGGCTTTAAGGGTTGGGACTTCGGCGCGAGGATTCATAAGGTATTGGATTCCCGGGTACTTTCTACATTGGCTGTCCACTTACAAGTTGTTGCTCTAGAAGCCCGAAACCCTAGACCCGAAACTGTAAACTCTAAATCCCCGAAACTGTAAGCCCTAAACCCCAAACCCTAAACTGCAATCTGATCTTTACATGCGCAGGTTCCCTTTCTAACCCCGAAAAACTGGAGTTTCCGTAAATTAGGGTACCTTTGAAAGCAGCTATAGGGCATATGTAAGGGTTGTATGAATTCTAGGGTTTAGGGTTTCCCAAAATTTGGGTTGCATTTTGGAGGTCTCGATAACAAGGAGTCTGGTATTTTGCTGTCTGCATTGGGGCCCCTCTATTTTGGGAAATTACCCAATCGCAGTTCATTGCAGATCCAACACCGTCAGAATTAGGATGACGAAAGGAAATCGTACTGTTGATGCCCAAAACCCTGCATGACCTTGGTATACTATAGTACATGCCCTCCCCAAACTAGCAGGAACTCCAACAGGGGATGGACATGGATCGGTATCCTTGTTTTACAGGCGCAGAGTAATTCCACAATAGAAGGTGCTTCTGGTCATGCAGGAATCGAGTCTAAAGTGTCTGCCCCCTAAACCCTAAACTCCTAAATCCCTAAACCTCTAAACCCCTAAACCCACGGCTCTTGCCTAGGGTTCGGAGTTGATTGGTTTGATGTTCTGGGATGGGGAATAGGCCAAGCATTCTGGGAGGAGCATAGAGCTCCTCGAAGTGATAGGGTTTAGGGTTCAGGGCTTNNNNAGGGCTTAGGGTTTAGCGCTTGGGGTTTAGGGTTTAGGGCTTATAGGGCTTAGGGTTTAGGGCTTGGGGTTTAGGGTTTAGGGCTTAGGCTTTAGGGCTGGGGGCTTAGGGTTTAGGGTTTCGGGCCTAGGGTTTAGAGCTTAGGGTTTAGAGTTTAGGGCTTAGGGAGAGTGCAGTTTGTCAGTTTTGCCTGTGGAAAGCCTCCTATTCATCACATAGAACACAACAGTTTCAGTCAAGATGCTTTGGTACAGTTATTTGCTGTAGAAGCCCTTAACCCTAAACCTTAACCCTGTCTGCCCTGTATTTCATATGACTGCAGGCTTCGCCGTACGATCGTTTCGGCCGCTGTTATGAGGCTGTCTGGGCGGCTTGTTCCTAAGGGACTGTCTCGCAATAGTTCCTATAGAATCCTTAGCAGAGTCCCTCATCATCCCCTTCTACTACATACCAAGGTGCCCTAAACCCTAAACCCTAAACACTAGCAGGGGAGGTTATAGAGCTAAAGAAGTTGAACTGACTGTTAGTTCGCCTTTGTTTCGGTGGAGATCCCTCCGCAGCATCTATCTGATACGCCATAAACCTCAACATCCCAAAGCCCTGAACCCTAAACCCCTAAACCCTACACCCTCAACCCTTAACCCCTAAACCCTACACCTTCAACCCTGAACCCTACACCCAAAACCCTGAAACCTAAGCCCCTGAACCCTCCACCCTCAGCCCTGAACCCCTCAGTCCTAAACCCTAAACCCTAAACCCTCAACTGTGCTCACAACCGTCCTGAAGGGTTCAGGGTTTAGGGTCACTGCCTGGCACGTAGTCTTACTGGGGCTTAGTAAGGAATAAGGGAATATTTGTAGGGTTTAGGATTCAGGGAGTAGGGTTTAAGGATTACAAGATTTAGGGATCAGGGTGTGGGGTTTTGGGATTATATTATATATGGGTTATGATGGGTGCCTATTCCCTATCAACCAGCAGCAAGTAGTAGGCTATGGAGGAAAGGCTTGTGCTCCCAGGCTCTATTGACTTGGTAGGTCTACTTAGTAGCAAAGTTTGTGGCCTTAGCCTGATAGGGGTTAATGGGGATAGTAGGTAAACTTACTAAGTCAAGAGATAAGGATCGACGCAAGTGTCTGTATGGAGGGTCTACTACAGGGTTCCATGCCCTTCCACCAGGTAGGTTCATCAATTTTGGGTTTATATACCCTAAGCCGTAAACCCTATAACTTAACCCCTATACCCTAAACTGTAAACTGGTTTGTAGGGTCTAAGGATTAGGATTCGTAGATTGTAGGGAATGCAGCAGTATTTGATCTCAGACTTTCTCCACATCATGGTCTCCTTGTAAAACTTCTAGGTTTAGGGTTTAAGGTGCGCGAAGTAAGCTATACTTCAACAAAGCACCTCCAATTCTTCTGCATGCAAACCCTGCGCTCCTAGACTCTAACCCTCGACCCTAAACCCCTAAATCCGTGAACCCTAACCCCTCTTAATTTTTAGTGTCGTATGCGGTCGCTGGGGGGATTCAACAGATAGATTCACATGGGAGTTTCCTTAAATTGGGGGCAAATATTTTGGGTCTATATTGGGGTCCCTCTATTTTGGGAAATTACCATATAGTAATACTAAAGCGTCTGGCATGCAGTTGTGCGTGCGTTGAGCGGCTTGTGACTGCTATCCGAAACATTTAGGGTGCAGCAACTGCAGCCATCTCAATGACAAGCTACAGAAATGACTGCTTCACGTAGAGTATGGTGAAGGACGCTTGAGTCCCAGGCACTTCCGTCGATCACCTGGCAGGAATATAAGATGATAGACGTCAACTGGACCCGCATTCGCTTATGCCGGGTCATTGTCCGATACATTTTTACTTCATGCTATATTCTATGCAGCACGGAATTTGAAGCCATAGGCTTTTAGCATTATGCCAATGACCAATCCGTGTTGTCAACACTTCCTGTCCGCAAGGGTGAGCGAATAACGCTTTCCTGCCAGCTGTTGCAGCTCCATTGAGCCATGGGTGCGGGGGCCAGTGCTTACATAGCCTCCGTGGATGATGCCACTCTGCTGAGCATCACTGAAGATGTGGACAAGGCTTAACCTTTAGGGTTCAGGGGTTAGGGTTTAGGGAACTCCCAGTATAATTTGCAGCAGATTTAATCTAAAGCCCCTAATTTGTTATACGGGATATAATAGCAAATATAACCTTTTGTAAGTTCTACTCAATAACCCCTAGAACAGTCCCCTATATATAGAATCCCCATCAATAACCCCTAGAGTAGTCCCCTATATAATCTGGTGTTTCCTATGACAAAACCCTAAACCCTCAACCCTAATCCCTAAACCCCTAAACCCTAAATCCCTACATCCCTAAACCCCTAAGCCCCTAAATCCCTACATCCCTAAACCCCTAAACCCCTAAATCCCTACATCCCTAAACCCCTAAATCCCTAAATCCTAATTCCTAAACCCTAAACCCTAAAACAGGCGGCGCAGCTCTTAAAGCTGGTAGCAGAGGGCAGGCGCAAACGGGAGCACGGCCGTAGGCAGTTGCTGGGCAGCCCAGTAGTACCCTTTTACCCTTTTTATTAAGGTTTAGGGTTTAGGGGTTTTGTAGTCTAAATCCTTAAAGGTGGTTATAATACTAGGTCCAGTAGTACCCTTTTACCCTTTTTTATTGGGGGTCTCCTTATTAAAACAGAACAGTAGGAAAAAGGGTACCCTTATTGTTTAGGGTTTACTGGGGCACCTAGGTTGAAGATCAATAGCCCCAACGGCACGCAGTTCCAGCTGGAGATCGACCATGCTGCAACGGTACAAGATGTGTCGCAGGAAATTGCGGGGATAGTTGGCATGAGACCAGGGAGAATGCTGGTTTTAACCTCTGGCGGTGCGATCCTCGATGAGTCCAAGCCACTGATGCAACAGCTCACTGGAGACGAAATTACGCATCTTGGCAGTTGAGTAGGCAAGCTTCAACGGCTTTGGAGAGGTAATCTTGGCTTCATAATTTCTAGGCAGGGGACACCTACAGGGTGGTGCCCCCTACTCACACATCTACGTTTATGAGCCACAGAACTGCTATTCATAGGACTTATGATTATTATAGCAATTACCATCGGCACAAACCATAACTTAAAGGGACCTCCACGATGTAAGGTTGCCGAACTGCAAGTATGACAAATGTCGTCATATCTACTATAGTCTAAACCCTTCAAAGAGGGTTATATAGGGGAATATTACAGGGGTTACGAAAGGGGATACTTGGAGCTTAGACTATAGCTCATGTCTACCTGTAAACTTATGGCGGGTAATTTGAGCCCGTCACACAACGACGTTCCCATTTCTCCGCATATGCCTTCCAATCAGCCCTGTACAAGACCTATGACATGGTAGGTCTAGGTAGGGCTACCCAAGCCGCCAAGCAAGGTATGCTGTTTATGCGAAACGCTAAGCCCCAGTCGCAATTCTCAAATGAGGTATGCTGATCAACCTAATTTAACTTACCGCACTATGGGAAATCACACTACTAGCTATGCATATCCACGATGGTAATTTCAGATAAGCTTCTGAACAGCAACCCAGGAAGTTCTGGACCCTGAAGATCACCCCATCAATCTGGAACCGTAAACCCTACAGATCCCAATCTCTACCTACGGTAAACGATTCAGATCCTAAAGTTTACACTGTAAATCCTAAGCCTTACAACGCGCAAGGTATGCTGATCAGCACGTGGGTGCGGGCCAAGCAGCTGTAAGCCTGCTTCGTGCTTTGGCTGAGTGGCCACGACACCGATTCTTGGGTTCTGGTTTTTGGCTCTGGGGTTTTGGTAGTTAAAATCTTGGATTTAGAGGGTCTAGACTCTAAACCCTAAAACCCTAAACCGCTTAAGGTCTAGGATTTAGGGCTTAGACCCTAAACTCTAACACCCCAAACCGCTTAAGGTTTAGGATTTAGGGTTCAGACTTCAGGGCCTCTCAGACGGTAAAGGCTCCAAATAGCCCAGTGCCGGTGATATTCACACACTTCCTGGCCCAATGTAGTATCACTTATCGACTTTTAGTCCACGCTGCAGGATTTCGGGTTCTAGTTTGTGCAAGGGGGTAGAAGGCTTAGTATACATATCTTGAGGCTTAGGGTCCCAGCTATGCTTTGATAGGAGTATACATCATCAAGATCCCGCAGTTTTTGCAGCTACATAGGGGGGGGGGGACCCTAAATTCTTATAGGCCTAAACCGTAAACATGTTGCAACCCAACCCTGAAGCCTAAAGCCTTAAACTGCAAAAAGCCACCCAGGATTGTGTGTGGCAGACATGGCCGCAACTGATGCAATTTGCTCCTTGACCGTAGGCGATGATTTCAATTTGAGTCTGGATGGGGCCATGCTGCCAAACGCAATGCAGACGTTGACCTTTGGCGACTGCTTCAACGAAAGCCTCGCGCACATAGCCTTGCCAAGCAGCGTGCTGACGCTGACCTTTGGTAGCCGATACCGGGTTGCTCTTGAATAACATGTTTGGTTTTCAGCATTCCTGAAGCCCGATATAAACCGAAAGTGATGGTTCAATGCCTTCTCAACCATACCCTAGAAGCCCAGGTACCCATATAGTAGGTCCTTGGGCTATAGATAGCATAAATTCATATAGGGACTTAAGGACAGGAACCCAATATACAGGTAACTGGGCTTCTAGGGATATTCAAGCAACCCAAAGCTCTAAAAGCTTCTCTGCCCCGAACATATAGCTCTTGATCCTTGAGGTAACTCATAATATGAGCCCTGGACTAAATTTGTAGTATATCCCTTAGTAGGTCCCCCCCAAAACCCTATATAGTCCCCTATAGGTCCCCCCCAACCTAAATCTAGTCCGTAGCTCATATGACCATGGGCCACCCAAGATGCACCCCTCAAACGAACAAGGCCTAATCCGCCTTAATTCTACGAAAGGGGCCCATAGTAGCGCCATGTGTAACCCTAAACCCTAAACCTTGAGGAAACTCTTACACCCTAAGCCCTTACACCCTAAACTAAACCACATTTCCCTAAACCCCAAATCCCTAAACCCTAAATCCCTACACCCCAAATCCCTAAACCCCCAAAC